CTTGCTTGGCACCTGAAAGGTTTGGGGAGGAAAGGGGATGGACTTCAATGTCTTGTCTTTCTTTTTTTCCTTCCCTCCATCCAGGCTCCAACTTTTTCTTTTCTTTTCGTGGAGGAGCAGGTGCTGGTCAGCCAGAGGAGGAGGATTGAAAGGAAAGGGACCTAGCCCTCTGAGAACCGTCTCTATTCTACATTGTGAGAATGATCGTTAACACAAAGGTCTCTTATATATGTGCTTGTGTGTGTTTGTGTGTGTGTGGTTGTTGCTGCTGTGTTTCTTCAAGTCGTTTCCGACTTATGGCGACCCTAAGGAAACGACTTGAAGGAACACAGGGTTTTCGTGGCAAGCTCAGAGAGGAGATTTGCCCTTGCCCTTGCCTTCCCCTGAGGCTGAGAGAGTATAGCTCGCCCAAGGTCACCCAGTGGGTTTCATGGAGGAGTCGGGAGTCGAACCCTGGTCTCCAGACTCGTGGTCCAGTAGTCAAACCACTACACTACCCTGGCTCTCTTTTGAGAATTATCTTAACACAACGGTCTCTGTACATCTATGTGTGTATCTGGTTGTTGTTGTGTGCCTTCGAGTCATTTTTTGGCAAGGTTTCTTCGGAGGAGGTTTTGTCCTTGTCTTCCCCTGAGGCTGAGAGAATGTAACTTGCCCAAGGTCATCCAGTGGGTTTCCATGGCCGAGCGAGGATTCGAACCCTGGTCTCCAGTCGTAGTCCAACGCTCCAACCACTGCACACACTCTCTCTCCGCGTTTTATATTGTTGTTGTGTGCCTTCAAGTCATTTATGACTTATGAATCTATCACAGGGTTTTATTGGCAAGATTTGTTTAGAAGGGGTCTGCCATTGCCTTTCTCTGAGACTGAGAGAGTGTGACTCGCCCAAAGTCACTCAGTGAATTTACATGGCCCAGCCAGGATTCGAACCCTGGTCTTCAATGTCACAATCTAGGACACAAATCACACCACTGCCTCTGTGTTTATATATATATATATATATATATATATATATATATATATATACACACACACACACACACACACACATATAAGCGCACGCATAGTCAAAATATATCTGTCTACCACTATTTCTCTGTCTTTTTCTCTTACTTTTCCCAAGAGCACTTGGAAGCCTTAAAGATCTTGAAGGCTAAGCAGAGTTAGCTCTGGTTAGTACTTGGATGGGAGACTGCCAAGGAATACCAAGTGCTGTAGGCTACATTTCAGAGGAAGGAACTGGCCAAACCAGCTCTTGAAGTACGGTAGTATTCCTTGCCTAAAAAACCCTATGAAATTCATGGGATCACCATAAGTGACAGGTGATTTGAAGGCACACACACACACACACTTCTGTCTGTCTATGAGAATTCCAGAGCAGTCGATTTAGGGGCTTATACCCACATGTGATATACATACACGTTGGGATAAATTTAATTATAAGCTCCAAACTATAGCAAACATTTTAAAAAGAAGGCCTCTTAGTCAACCCTTGTGTCAGCACCATTGACTTCAATGGGTCTACTGTGCCTGTGTGCCTTCAAGTTACCTGTCGACTTATGGAGATCCTATGATTTTATTAGGGGTTTCTTAGGCAAGGAGCACTCAGAGGTGGTTTCGCCAGTTCCTTCCTCTGAAATGTAGTTAAGACTACTTTCTCTCTCTCTCTCTCTCTGTATATTATGTATGCATATGCTCCCATTTGTTGTTGTTGTTGTCAGTGTTCTTGTTGCCTTCAAGTCCTTTCCAACTTATGGAGACCCTAAGGCGAACCGATCTGCGGGGTTTTCTGGGGCTGAGAGTATGTGACTTGTCCAAGGTCACCCAGTGGATTCTCACGGCTGAGTGGGGAATCAAACCCTAATTTCCAGAGCCTTCCTCCAATTATAAATCTATAATAAGAAAATAAGATATAATAAAATAAATCTATCATCATCATCACCATCATCATCATCAAACCATCTCTCCTGTCTTCCATATTTTATGGAAGAAGCCATTAAAAATCTTTAGGAAGAATAAATAATCTCTGGAAGCCCCCCCAAGGACGCATTTGCAAGAAGACCTTGCAAAGCATTTGGGGCAAAGCTGCGAAGAAGACTGTGAGAAGAGCTCCTGATCTGGGATGTATTAATCTAAGTAGGCAGTGTGGTGTAGTGGTTTCAGAGCTGGACTCTGGAGATTAGGATTGGAATCCCCCCTTGGCCGTGGAACTGGGTGGCCATGGGCGGGTCACACTCTCTCAGCCTCAGAGGAGGGCCATGGCAACCCCCCTTCTAAAGCCCTGTGATAGGGTCGCCATCAGTCGGAAAGGACTTGGTGGCACATAGCAACAACAGCAGCCAGGTATGGGGAGGCATTTTCAGCGGAGCTCTGGTGCCACAACCAACTACAATGCCCAGAATTCCATACCACTGAGCCATGGCAATTCAAGTGGTGTCAAGCCGGATTGTTTCTGCCGTGCGGATGCAGCGCAGGTCTCAAGTGAGTAGCGCGCAGTAGGCTAGGTTTAATGTGAGATTTGTTGCTAGCTCTCGCTGGCTAGCGAGGGAAGCTTTTCTCCCGATCTGTAGAAAAATGCTGGACAAAAGTGCGAAGAGAGACTCAGCATCGTCCAAAAATGGGACGGATGAAGGCAGCTCCGGCAGCAAACACGCCCAAATCCCAGCCCCAAAGCCAAAGGGGGGTGGCATTTTCTGGAGGCTGGGAGGGGATCTCCAGGAGGAAAAGGCAGCTTTTCTTCCAAAAATTCAGCACTGACTGAAGAACGGGAAAGGGATCAGGGCTGCTGTTTTTCTGAAAAATAAAAATTAATTAAGAAACTTCTCCTACCTTTCTTTCCATATAGATAGATGCCTTGCCAAGAAGGATGGAGAGGTAAGATAAGAAGAGCGATTGGCCTCAGAGGAGTTTCCTCTTTGGACAGATTCAGTTTTCTTTTCTAAAATTTATTTTACCGAGATCCATACTTCTGAGTAAATCCGCCCAGATATTTTTTTACGCTCAGAAAATCCAAGGCATCCTAGACACTTTCCTAAAAGTTTCCATAAAACTTTGTAACTTTCCTAAAAGTTTCTGGGATGCTTGAAATTCTAAAGCGTCCTCGCAACTTTCCTAAAAGTTTCACAAATCTTTTAACTGTCCTAAAAGTTTCTGGGATGTTTGAAAAGCAGAAACATCCTGGAAACTTTCCTAAAGGTTTCTGAGATGCTTGAAAATCCAAAGCATCCTAGAAACTTTCCTAAAAGTTTCTGGGATGCTTGAGATTTTTCTGAGCGTGGAAAAATATTCCGAGCGCACTTCCTCAGAAGTAAGGATCCCGGGAGTCCTGAGGCTTACTGTTATGAAACTTCCACAAAAGTTTGTGGGTTGCTTAAAAGTGAGCCTTTGGGTAGCCATTGCGGCCAATGAAACGCATATTTTACAGTCCCTGGAGTCACTTTTTTGGGGACGGAAGGGCTTTGGGTCCCGATTTAGAGATTTGGACTTAGGATAAACCACCTGTGGATTTTTTGGGAACTAGAGTTCAAGTCTGTACCTATTGGAAATGCCAGTAGTTAAGTCCCCTTCCCCAATTTGCCTTCTGCCTTACTTGGGTAAGTCGTCCATAGAAATCAAGGGACTTACTCCCCGGTAAACGAACCGTATCTACAGAGAGAAATGAACCCCCTAAACGTTTCCTATTGTATTGGGACAACTTATTGGGAGTTAGGAGACCGAAGTCGGGATACGTATCGGAGCCAACGTTGGTCCGACTTTTGTTTTTAAGGGGCCACCCACCCCATAGTTAATTTAAATGATCAGTCACACACACACAACACACAGGCACACACACACACACGTGTCCTGCTCCCCCCCCCCGTATCTCTTTGTGGGTCTCGGTTGTTGGAAAGCAACTTTGGAAAGTTTCCAAACTTTCCAAAGTCTAAACTTTCCCAAGAGAGACGCGGCAGCCGACCCTCGCCTCCCAGCTTGGGCAAGTTACTTTTTGTCCTCTGTGTTTTTTGCACAACAACTCCCAGAATCCTCCTGACCCGTATGCTGGGGATTCTGGGAGCTCCGATCCCCAAAGTAATATTTCCTAACTCTCAAGTTGGGCGATGACTTTTGCATAAGCGAGTATGTGAAGAAACCAACCTGCGTGCTCTTATCGCATGGGATGAGTCGCCTCGGGTCTTTGGACGAAACCAGACCCGAATTTGCTTCTGATCTGAAGAAATCTGACCCCCCTAAAAAAGTTGGGGAGACCCTTTTGACCGCCTTGTGTTCCAGCCTGAGAGAAAGGCGGCATATAAATAAAATAAATGAATAATAAATGATTTTGATGTGGTTTTCTCCTCGCTCAGAGGACTCTCCTCCCCTTATTATATATTATTGATTTCTGCAGTGCGCATGCAGCCTCCCAGTTCCCCCAGACAACGTGGCCACTGTGGGATTCTGGGTGCTGTAGTCCAAACAAGGAACTTTTCCAAGCTCTGGGGCTACCAAATACCTGGCGCTCCCTCCCACAGCTTCGGAAATAATTCCAAAGCCAGTAATTTATTTACAGCCCACGGGGTCCTCTTCTAGCCCAATGCTTTCTCTCCTCACAGGGGACATTTCATGTCGTTTTCCTTGTCCCTCTCAACTCCAGAAAGAGGAAAGGCCGCCCAACACATTTTGCCGCCCGAGGCCCAGTAGCAAATAGTGGAAACCACTTCCCTCTTTTCCTGCCCGGACACCTAAAGCTATTCAACTGGACACCGGAGGTTTTAAGAAAATACCGCAAGCTGCCCTCCTCCCTTCCCATATTCCCTACAATTTATTGTTGTTGTCGTTGTGTGCCTTCAAGTTGTTTCCCACTTTGAGGGACTCTAAGGAAAACCACCTATCACAGGGTTTTCGTGGCAAGATATGTTCAGAGGGAATTTGCCATTGCTTTCCTCTGAGGCTGAGAGAGCGTGACTTGCCCACCTAGTGGCTTTCCATGACCGAGTGGAGATTTGAACCCTAGAGCCGTAAGAGCCAGCGTGGCTTAATGGTTTGAGCATTGGACTAGGACTCTGGAGAGCAGGGTCCGAATCCCTGCTTGAGCATAAAAACCCTCCGGGTGACCTTGGGCAAGTCACACTCTCTCAGCCTCAGAGGATGGCAAGGGCAAACCCCCTCTCAAGAAACTTTCCAAGTTGGAAATGAAGCCACGACAACAACGACTCCATAGCCGTCGTCCAGCACTCAAACCACTACACCACACTGCCTCCACCGTAACACAGGCACTAAAAAGCAACGTTTTAAAC